TGTCGGGTTTGGCCTTTTGGGATCTTCACGGACAAGCTGCAATCACCCAGGTGCTTGACTAACCGCTGATCTGCCGAGCAATCAGGAAAAATGACATTTTTAGAAGGCTTTAGAAATACTGCATCTGGAATACAGCTGGAGAAGTAACTAAACGGTAATTTCCTACATAATACATTTTGACAAGAAGATAACAGGAAAATGAGTAACTACAGGTTGGAGGAATCTTGAAAACAACGCCGCCCTTCAACTGCCTGCAAGGAGTGCAGAACTACGCTATGATCAGAGCGCTGATTTTCCTGGAAACCAAACCCCACATTTTGCTGCAGAGCCCCGTCACCCACTGCTTACCAAACTGAAAATTGAGAGCACCCTCGTTTCAACCTTTTAAACCGAGATTTTTTTCAAATGCAAAGGAAAAATACGTAATTATAATCAAGGCTACGGTTCTCATCATCTCTGCTCGGAAGTGGAATTTGATTTATCGAGTGCCTCTCGCAGACATCAGCAAAGAGAACACTGAACTGGACCACGCGGGTTCTCTGGGAGCTTGCTGGAGATTTGGAGGCTGTGCAGGGAACCGTTACAATTTTTTGTCAGCTAAAAAAAAAAAAAAAATAAATCATGGGAGGCATTCTGAGACCACAAGAGGTTAAAAACCATACTAATTTTACTTGCGATCTTTAGGTTTCTTTGTCAACCCACAAAGAGAAATCAGGTGGCCTGCATTTCTCCGATGCATCATTTCTGGGGTCTGCACCATTAATGGTATTATTCTGGGGCTCTCTTGTTTTATTTCTGAGTTATCTGGAACAGATCCCAATCACAAACGTTTTTTGGTTGTGTGTTTTTTTAAATGCACCTAGCGCTTTGGAAGGATCATCCCATTGCTGAGTAGATTGCATTGCAAATTCTTTGGCTGCCTGATCACGAAACATAGAGCCACATGTAGGACGTCTTCCAAGCCAGGCAACGGCTCCTGCTTCCAGCAGGACTCCATTCTCCTTCGTGTTGGAGTGTTTCTGGAAAGACTGCGTGCACAGCAAGCGATGCGTGTCCTTCCCAACAGGGATTCATCTGCGCTGCTCAGTGCTTTCCACAGAACATTTCGGTGAGTTGGAGACAAACTAAGTTGAGTGCTAGAATATTAAATTACTCTCAGCTCTCAAATAACTGCAGACTGCCTTTAGTGCTGGCTGTGTTGCAGGATGAACTACATTAACAACTCGCCGATCCTCATCTTTGGACCAGAAGCAGGAGTCTTATCATGGTGGGGGATGCTGCGACGATTGGGACTGTTGCTCAGATGAGCGTGTCGTATTTGGAGCTGGATCAGATTTCACTACCACATGGTAAAAAATAAAGGTCCTGGCAGGCCTGTCTCCTATTCACACAATGCTCCTCACTAATTTTGCCATTAAAAAAATAATCCCAGAACCCAATGCTGTGAGGAGCCCAATAACAACATTTAACAACAACAAAGTCAGGCATAGTTTACTGTGATTTGAGAAGAACCACCGTGCCTGACGTGGTTTTGTTAAATTATCCTGCTTCTCACATCACTTAATAGGTCTGCAGAATTTCTGCAAGTAAATACGAGTCCTGGAAAATGAACAAACAGACTTTTTGAACTGCCAAAGTGACCTGCAACGTCTCATATATTTCACTAAGAGTTTAAAAACGGCTCCAAAGATCTCACTACTGCAGAACATCCAAAAGCTCCCATGGACGGTATTTATTCCTCACTGTGCCACCTAACAGAGTCTGAGACAAGTCCAGGATACCAAGGTAACAGAGAAGCAACCTCTTAACTAGTTTAGTCATCAATACATCCTATGAATTAATGGTTAGGGCTGAACAGAACATTAACTTTTGGATTCCCGCTGTGTTCTGGTGGAACGTGGAACGGTTCTACAAAACCCAGTGGCTACCAGTATAACAAGCAACTATGGCAAAGGGTCAAGGTCTCCCTTTCATCATTTTAAAAAACTTCTGCGTTCTCCCATTATCAGGTTCTGGAGTTTTTAGCTGGCCCCAGGGGCAAAGACTGGGGCAAGCACGCTGGCGGCAAAGAACCCCTCTCTTCCACAGAGCTGTTTAATGACAATTTTAGAAGCCAAAACTCCGAACCACTCTCTGCCACACCAAATGACATATTAAGGGACTTGAGGAAAAAAGACCCAGAGTTTTCAACTGCAATGACTTCAGCACGTTACTACTATGGCACAAATGGGGACGAAGATCCTTGGGGCAGCTCGATCCCAGCCTTGCAGATCCGTTCCTCCCGTGTCCTGTGACACTGTGGCTCATCTAGAAGCCGTGCCATTACGGCAGCACCGCTGGGTCCTAGCTGTTCAGAGGCAAAGGCGAGCTACAGATCGTCACTCCTTGCTGTTCCGATCGTCATTAAGGTAGGTGGGGAATTCTGCACCAGTATCTGGGGGTTCCGATGGGGACAGGCTCTGCTCCTACCTCCTGTGAGTTTTAGGACCTCCTTACAGCC